TTCCAGCAGTTCATACTCACATCTAATATCTCGTTCGTCATGGGGGGCATGCATGAAATGTTTCCCGAATGAAAATGAAAGTGTCAAACTGCAGTTAAAGTCAACAAATTAAAAATGAAACATCCAAAATTACATGAAACTCTGGAGGAAATGTGGATAGTGTGCTGACACAATGATGTCAATCAATCTATATGCTATAACATTTAAACTGGGATCATGAAAGGAACAATCAAAAAGCAACTCATGTAAACACTTTTATCATATTATTGTCTTATTCAGATTAATGCAATCCATTCGATCACTGATGTCCATGTAAACTTGGAACCAGTGATCTCGGTATAGTCAAACTGTTTTGGTTCTCATTGATTTCCATTCAACAAAGGACATTTTGAAATTTTTAGCATAACAATAATATGGAAAGCAATATCTATTTTTGTTTTCCAGAAGAAAGTCAAGCAGGTTTAGCATGACATGAGATATTTTGAAGTATATTGGTAATGAAACAGCTTTAGAATCCTTTGACTTCTGCTGCAGAAAAACTAAATCCAGTCAAGGGCCACCGAAACTCTTCTACACCTACTCAAAAATACTACTTTTCCAAAGAAGGCAGCAAGCCATTAAGGTTTGGAGTGACATGATGGTGACTTGTTAACGGCAGGATTATGAGGGGTTTACACAATACTTGTCTTCAACTAAAATAAAATTAAGAAAATCCTTTTTGACATATAACCATTCATGTACTCCTGTTTTGTGGATGCTTTAAAATGTCAACTTTTAAAATTAGCTGCCAAAATGTATTTTTTTTATTTTACCACTGTTTAATTACAAAAATGTGATTTTGTTGAAATAGTGACATCTTACACTTCTATATTAAGTTGTTCAGTGTATAGGTGTGCGAGTTATTGACAACCAATACCACTTTTTAATTAATCTTTATTTCTATAGTGCTTTTACAATGTAGATTGTGTCAAAGCAGCTTAACATAGGAGTTCTAGTAAATTAAAACTGTGTCATCTCCTGTTTTCAGAGTAGTAATTCAGTTTGGTTCATTTCAGTGTGGTTTATTTTTCACTGCTGAAAGTCCAAACACTGAAGAGCAAATCCATTGGCCAAACGTCTTGTGCAGAGCTGCAGTCTAGGCATCGGAGGCTAGAGAACCCTGGACGTCCATCGTGGAGAAGTTGCAGGTGTGTGTCGGTCATGGGTGGGTGTTCACTATCACCTTCAAAATAATATGGAAAAAAGGCATTCCTAATTAACTAATGATTGAAAAACACCAGCACAATCTCACTGCAAAATGAATGTAGTAAAAAGACCGTAAAGGCATTTCATTCATTTTATGAATGGAGATCTAAGGGGAGTTATTTAAGGACAGCTCAGACCATTTGATGAAGATGATGATCATGTCTCCATTTCCCAGATCCCCCTGCTGATTTCTGATGGTGTGGTCATACTCAGTGTGATTCATAGTCTGAAGCCAAAGCAATCTTGTCCAGGTGTTCCAGTTGAGTCCAGCTTTGCTGACCCCTCCGCCATGGTGAGAGCTCTCTAAAACACTGATTCATTTTGCTCACTGCATGCGGCGCCTCAGAGACACTGGCACTCTGCTGGACTGCTGCTTCACCAGCGCTGCTTACAAGATTAAAAACAAACAGCAGGACACAAGAGTAGAACGAGCTGTTTGACCAGGCTGACTGACAATCTATGGATGGACATGAAGAATGTGAGATTTGCTAAGACCGGGGGAAGAATTAGTATGGGCTGATACGCAAAGCTCATACTAATAGTATCTGGATGGGGACTGCATGTCTCAGACTTGCAATGTCAGACACAGTGCACTCAATGGAGCTAGTGACGGGGTAGGGTGCCCATTAAAAGCATTGCATGCAGCTCACCTTGCAAATGTACCAAATCTGCATCCTCTCATTAACAGTGATGGGAATAACGGCATTTAAATAAGTGGGGCTACTACCGGCAATACTTTATTCAGTAATGAGTAATCAAATGAGTTACAGTTTCCCCTGTTACAACGCTATTGCCGTATCTGACAATAAATGTGTGTTACTATAATTAAGAACACTGAAGCGGTTTTCATGCGAGCAGCGTCTGTCTCAGTCATAGGAACCTTTTTTCCTCTGGGGTGTGTGTGTGTTTGAGGCTGGGGTAGGACACATAACCAACCACTGATGATGATTGGTGTGTCTGTGAACGTGGTGTAATTGAGAACCTGATGATTGGCTCAGTAAATTTCCATCGTTTGCCAATTAGAGGCAGAATAGTGCGGGTGTTCACACAGAAGCTCACACACAGTGTCGCACACACCAACGACCAGGAGTCAGAATAATGGCAAATCCAACAAGCTAGCTTTTGCAAACTGAAAATATAAGCACTACTTTTTTTCAATTTTCTAATATTTATTATGATATGTTGAATTTGATGATGATGATGGTGTCTCTCACATTGTCCTACATCAACATTACAATAGAGCAGATTAGTGTACAATGTTTTATATTTATTCTGTAGTCATTTGACAAATTAGATTTTTTAAAGTAACACAAAAGTTACTTTCCCTGGTAATTAGTTACTTTTATAATTATGTAACTCAAGTTACTTTTTGTGAATAGTAACTAGTAATTAAAACTAATTACTCTTTGAAAGGAACATGGTCAACACTGCTCATAAATACTGACTTCAAGCATGAAAATACTTATAAAGGGACAAAACAAAGAAACAAAACAATGCAACGCAATGGCTTATGTTACCGACATTATTCAAAATATCTCAAATTGTATTCAACATACTCAGAAGCCTTCTGTGGAGAATGTGAACTATAACAGAACTTTCAATTTGTGAAAATTTGAATTTTTTTTTTTATTTATAAACAATTTCTAGAGGATCAGGTGCTTATGATTGCTTGCGACATAATTCAATTTATGATTCACCAATCAGAAGATTCCTAAGCCTCTATAAATACCCTTGGTTTCATACCACAGTCTTCTTTGTTTTAAAGAATCCCTCCTTCCACCCCTACTGCTCCTCCTTTCCTAGATGGGTGCCATGGTGGCCCAGTGGTTAGCACTGTTGCCTCACAGTAAGAATGTTTTTGGTTCTAGTCATTACCAAGATAGCTGATGTTTCTTTGTTGAGTTTCCCCTGGGTTCCTCCCACCATACAAAAACATGCAGCTTAAGTTAATTGACTAATCCAAATCGGCACCATAGACATGCTCCTAGTAAGTAGTTAAGAGCAATTACTATATGTTCAATTAGCTACTACAGCAGGGGAATTCTCAAGATCTACCTGAGCTTTAATTCCCCTCTCACTTTGCAACAGGAGGGAGCCCCAGGCTCAAGGATTTTATGAGCTCAGGGCTCTCTCCCAGGACAGCATGCCAAGCAAGCTTTATAATCAATCATCAGCTAAGTGTGAAGAATTGAATAGTTGGTTTAGCCCTTTAATAAGAAACTTGATGCTTAAAAGGAACTCGCCACGTTGTACAAGTCCCCAAAAGTCTTACCATTTTTAATTCATTCAATTGATCTATGGGTCTGGCAGGGCCATTTCTGTGCCTGAAAATTGTCACCATTTCGTCAAAAGCAGCAAAGTTCTTGAGAGTTTTATTAATGCCAACACCTATCACAACCCTAACCCTCAGTAACATCCAGCTCTGAAGTAGAAACCACTTGAAGTTCCATGAGTATTATGCTGGAATTAGAGTATAGATCCTATTCTGCCAAGAATATAGCAACTTTCATTTTAGTCTGTCTTCATACACAATGTAACTACAGAAGAGTCAACTAAATAAAAAATGTATCCAAACTCTTTTAAATTATTATTATATTTTGAGCAAGACGCTACTGGTCTAATCTGATTCAATTATTTAAGCTAAGCTAAGCTAAACATGGGCCAGCCAGACCCGCAGATCATCTGAATGGATTTAAAAATGGTCAAACTCAACTGTGTAATTCTAGGTAACTTGTAAAATGGGGTGATTTCCAATTCCGAGTCTAACCTCCTAGGGCTTGAGTGTCCACATACAGGGACAGCACATTTTAGCTCTTAAGTGGCTTTTTAAAATACTTTGAATGCTTTATATTTTGTTACAGTCATTCTGCAACTGTTTTGAAATGCCCCAAACACTATTTTAACTGTCCAAAACGAACAAAAATGTTGTTTTTACTCTCCGATAGTCAAAACATGTTAAAGCATAAAAAAACAGTCAGGAAAAAGGACCACGAGTCCTCATATATGGACATCATTTTTATCTAAAAGTACATCATATCAAAAGATGATACTAAGGTTTTATTCCAATTAGGTTCCAAATAGCAAAGAGAAAAATAGCAAAGAGAAATAAAAAAAAATGCATGTAATAAAACAGATTGGGCCTTAAGAGCTTCAACCATGTGGCAATTATGTTGTCATAAAACACATTCAACTGTATTTCATGAATGCAATTCATTATAAATTAAAATGGCAGGACGATTATCAATTAAAAACATCAATGACTGACCATTTTATCAAATGACAGATCAATTTTCCTTGATAGAAAGAGTAAAGATGTCTTACAAATGATATGAAATTTTGACCAAAACACAGTAAAAAAGAAAACCCAGCAAATTGCAATAGTTATTACATTGTAAAATGATGTAATTTCTAATCTAAACCTCTGTGGGAAAAAAGACACGTTGCCTAATCTGACATTTTTAAAGAATGGTGATTAGTCAGTGATTTTCACCTCAAACATGATAAGAAGTACTGACAGCTTATCTAATAACTTTAAAAATAGCACAACAAAAATGATCAAACTAAGCAGACTCTTCTCGTGAAATCCAAGTACAACTCCTATGATACTATAAATATATAGAAAACCAAATAATAATAATTCAGAACACATTATTAAAATAAATAGCTGCATTTTCATCTTGTAAACACAAAGCCTTTCAAACTAAACGCAACACCGATCATGCATATTGAACTCAGCGAAGGCACTGAAAACAAGATTACCCATAACATCAAATTCTGTTTTTATTCAATAGTACTCTCTTCATAATCATAATCCATACATCATAATTCATTTAAAACAGTATGAAATTCAACACATAAATCACTTCATCGCTACAGTAAAGGCTGACTAAAATGAACCAGAATGAATAGTAACAGACTGCATATGTAGTATCAACAAACGTCTATTTACAGTGAATAAACTCTGTCTGCGCCAGGCCATGAATGCAAGTCTGCTTCACCGAATAAAAGACCAACTAGGAGTTTAGTGTACTTCAGGAGAATCCAATGCAACACTGATGGCCATATTGTAAGAAACAGAAAAAAAATGATGATATTAATATGGCAAAAGAAATCTCATCAGGCCAACCTGAACTATATTTCATTGCTTGTATGCTCAAAGACAAAAATCAAGAAACAGTAGTGATGTTTAATACCTTAAAGCTGTAAAAGTGCTTGAAAAAAAGAGAGAGAATGAAGATAAAAACAAATGCTGCTCCTTCTGGTGACTGTGCAAACATGAGATGAAATGAAAGCACATTTCTTTCACATGACTGGATGGACTAGAACATGAGAAATTAAAGCCAGAATCCTTTCTGCTATTCCCAGCCATTATTAACACAGACACTGGTACATGTGTTTCACATTGGTACAAAATATTGGTTGGTAAATTCAGCAACACACACACATACCTCCAAAAAAAAAGCTTGGGTCAGGCCAGCGGCTCCTTCACTTGTGTTTAGTACAGTTCTGTGGCACATTCAGCATGTTTCAGCAGTTTGTGTTTATACAGCATTATTGATCAACAGTCTTTCGCTGTCTCAGAAAACATAGCCGGCCAGGAACGGCGGAGACACACTTTTGATTGCGTCCATCTTGAGTTTGGGGTCATCGAGTTCAATGTCTTCTCAGTCCAGCTCTTCAATGCTGGGTTTATTTGACTGCATCATAGGCCTGCGGATTGAGCCGAGTAATAAGGGCTGTTAACCTGGAAGAGCAGAGAGATGATTTTCAGAGGCACAGTCGAAGACATAGAAACAAACAGCAGTAAAGTGCTGACTGAGATGCACTGTAAAAAGTAGGGCTGCATAACATATAACAGCCAAAAATTTGTCTAAATGTTCTACTAAATATAAACATAAATAAAGGAATAATTAAAAAAAGTCAAGTACACTGCAAAAATCCGCAATAGTCAAATCGCAGGATCTGCAATGTTGAGTTAGCATTACAGTTGACCAAATACTGCAGTTCTGAACATACTCTACAGTTCTGAGTCACTGCAAAGTTCTCTCACCTTACAGCAGGAGTGGCCAAACTTTTTCTTATGAAGGGCCAAACACCAAACTTGATAGAGGCTAGTGGGCCGAAGGTAAATATAGTTGCCATGGGTAATTTTCTAATTGAATTAATAATATTTCAAATGACTAGAAAACATTGCTTTATATTAAATAATACAATATTTTCATTTTAGAAATTAACTTATTACAGTAAAAACAATCTAATTTATGAATGAATTACACTAGTTTTTCTTTTGATTTCCTCGCCGATGTCTTCTGCATAGTCCTCTATCTGTCAAGTGACACATTTACAACGTACAAAGAGCCCTAATTATGCATTATAAAACAATATATTTAGGTTTGGGGGTCTCCAACAATAGGCTGATATGCATGCAAGGTCAAAAAACACTTTCATTGTCTCATAATGTGCATTTATTTTGCCTAAATATCCTAACAATCTCCTTTGTGTGAGGCTAATCTGCAGTGATTGGTCTGATGACTCAAGTCTATTCGGATTGGTTGACGGGGTTCAGCACGAGACAGAGAGAAACGCCCATCACGGTTATGAGGTAGCACAGTGTATGTGAGAGCCTAATGCAGGAATGCAATAAAGCTATGCAGTTTGTATGTAATTACTCTACTCTTAACCATAACATAATAACAGCGAGACACATTTAGTATTAATCAACACTGGTAAAAGTTGAACTATTTAGAAAATGTGAGGGACAGCTGATGGTGTCCATAGCAAAGGCAAACGGCAGAGGATAACGAGCTCACAAACACATTTAGGTTGGTATAAGAAGAAGCACGCGTTATATTTTCAACATAGTTTTGGATGCATTATGTAAATAACCCCATACAGATTTAAGCTGAGATACAGTATGAGCACTGGTTTATAATAAATAAGTGATTACAAGCCGCGTATATCGATTACAAGTTACAACACACAATTAAACACATTTTACAAACTACAAAAAAATGAGGCAACAATTTTAATGACACTTATATGTTATGATCCAGAGGAAGAAGAAACTGGTCCAATTGAACAGCAACAGTTACTGATTAAGTCCCTGTCAAAGTCCTATACATAATAGTCTCTGCTGCTCCATCCTTTAATAGCAGACAGTCCATGAATCCCACGTTGCAGCGTGGGTTATTTTATCAAAAATAGGAAAAATGACAAGAACAAACAGCACACGGTTGGCCATATTGTGGTATTGTTATGAAAATTAACTTTAATCCGTTATTCCCGCAGCTGAATCTCTATCTGTCAGTCATCGTCATCTTCATGCCATGATCACACTGCAAAAAATGCTTTTCTTACTTAGATTTTTTTGTCTTGTTTCTAGTCAAAATATCTAAAAGTTCCTAAATCAAGAAGAATTTTCTTAACAAGCAAAACATATTGCCTTGTTTTGAGAAATATTATGCCAATATTAAGTCAGTTTTTCCTTAAAACAAGCTAAATAATCTGCCAATGGGGTAAGCAAAATAATCTTATGTCAAAAGAAAAAACAAGATTAATCTGCTTACCCCATTGGCAGATTATTTTGCTTGTTTTATGGAAAAACTGACTTAATATTGGCATATTATTTCTCAAAACAAGGCAATATGTTTTGCTCATCTAAAAAATGCTTCTTGATATAAGAAATTTTAGATATTTAGACTAGAAACAAGACAAAAAATCTAAGCAAGAAAAGCATTTTTTGCAGTGCAGTCCTGTGATCCCCCATGCTTCGCTAATGTGTAAAGTGTAAAGGCGCGTTCATGTTTTACCTGATCTGGCACTTTATGTTTGGTGATGTACCACATCGACGTCGGCAAGACAAAAGATCCGAACCCAACAAGATTTATTGATTTGACTCTTGAAGTTTCTATTTCGTTGAAGAATGAATAGTTTTAAAGAAGGTGCACTTTCAGATGTAAACCTCAGCTGGATGTTTTTATTTACTTAGTGCTGTGTTACGCGCTGCATGGAAGGTCATTTTTAAAAACCCCTAATAGGGACACCAGTTTCAGTGTGCTTTTTTGTAGCTCAGCAATAAAGCAAACTAAAAAGGTTACATCAAATTAGAAATGACGATCTCTGTGTCAAAGCCATTTGCTACAACCCTCTCTATTATTTTCACTCTCCTTTCAGATGGGATGTTGAGCCAAATCAAGGGTTACATTGGGCCAACTTTGGGCATCACTGCCTTAGATGCACATATTCAACTTTCACTCTGTTTCTAATTCTAATTGATGTATTTCAAGCCAATTCAAGGCTTTTGCACACAAAAATTTATAATGTTTGTAGATTCAAAATTAAATATATATAATTACTTACACAATGAAAACAGTGTTATTTTACATTTGATTATTCAATTTGTGTCAGAACCCCGTTTGATTCTTCAGAGGCAAAAAAAAAAAAAAAAAGAAGGAACGTACTGTTATTTGTAGCTTTGCTGTGTTGTATTTTTCTATGCTTGTATTAGTTTAGTATTCTTGTAATCTGGTGAAATTGTATTTATATTGCAATATATAAAAATCACAAAAAACAAAATATCTCTTTGCAAGTTTTTTTCCCCGAACATCCCAACATACAATGTACTGCCTTGAAGTCAAAGTGTTTAAGCCCTGGTAACCACACCATAAGCCCCAGACACACCTACATCCTAGAAAAGCTGTTGGCGCAAATATGAAGATTTAAATCCAGCTGTACTGCACATCAAACAACAGAAGTCTTATTTACCGTAGGAATACAAATATTCCGTGGGTAAATATTTAGAGTGAAGGCTGTGGTTTGTAGAATATACTGGAGAAGATCGTATGTAAGGGATTCCTAAAGCCAAACGAACACTTAGGAAAAGTGATGTGCGGTGAATTAATGGGTGTCTGATGCTGTTGTTGTGTGACTCACAGGAGAGATGATGATTCACTTCCTGAAGCTGTGAAGTCAATCTAGCGGAGGTGCTTCAGGGCTTCAGGTCAAATGTATGCTAATTCTGCTGGAGATTGGGCAGGATATTCATTAAAAGCTAAATAGCAGAGAGTGGAGTGGATTTAATCTTGAATGAGGAGAGAGTTGAAGCATTTGTGTTTTCTCTCACTCGCAGAGCACACAAATGACCAGGGTTGTGTTTCTAAAAACCATCGTCAGCCAACTAAGGTCGCAGGCTCCGTCGTTACAAACATAGTTTGTTGATTTGGCGTTTCCTAAATCCATCGTTCCAACAATCATTCGCAAACTGCGTTCCAAACTTGTAAGCTTGCGACTGCACGTGTGGAGCTGTAGTTAGAAACATAGTTCCTGGCTGTGTTCTATTCCCACTTATCCCACCTATTCCCTATTCATTTAGAACATTTTAACATTTAAACTAGGAATGATTAAAAAAGCATTAAAGTCATCTCTCTTAAGGTTAGATGTAATAGGTTTTCAAAGTATTTTCACAATTCAGTTTTTTAAAGATCTTCATGTTTAAAATTGTGCTCCCTTGGCAGTGCATGTTTGAAAACATTCATGTAATGTTGAACACAGCCGTGGCTCATGACAAAAGCTATAGGTGACCTATTATTTAAAAGCGAATTTGTTACATCTCCAATGCTTGTGAAAATAAATGTATCATACGTTAATCATTTAAATTTATATTAATTATAATTAAAATTATGGTTTAAACCACCCCGTTTAAACCGTCATTATGAGCATTTTACGTTATAACTGGTGGTTCAAACGATGGATCTGCGACAGAGAAACTACGGGTTTTGGAAAACACTTGTCACTACATCATTCTTTTCCCAAACGATGCATCCTACTATGATGGCTCAGCCACGAGTTATGTCGTTGTTTGGGAAACGCACCCCAGATTAATTAAATCAGCAAACCATTAAAGGGACATTTCACCCAATAAAATTTAAATTGTGTCATCGTTTACTCCGCTTCTGTTGAACTCAAAAGAGATTTTGAAGAAACTGAAAAAGCTTCTGACTTTCATTAATTTTCCATAGTATTTTCTACTCATGGTTAGTGGTTTTCAGCGTTCTTCAAAATTTCTTTTTTTTGCGCTCAACAAGAGAGTAAACAGTGAGTAAATTATCATTTTTTGGTGAACTGTTCCGTTAAACGAACCTTTGAATCAAGAGGTGTTAATTCGAGAACAGATGACATCAGGGGCCTGTACCATGAGGCTGGATTAGCTGGTTAGCCAGTTAAGTTTCAGTTTAGTTTGCAACAAACCTGGGTTAACTTCCAGGGCAGGTTAGCTTTGAAGTTTAAGATACTACGGCAGCAAAGAGAAAATCTTTCTCCAACCTTTAAGCAATGGCTTATAGTACTTCTACACCACCTGACCTTAGAAAAAATATGATATACTGTAAGAGGTAGTACTGATATATTTTTTCTTACTTGGCAACCTGTTTTAGATCACAAAAAGAAGATGGACCCTTCAGTTATTATACTTTCCTTGCTATAATTTTTTTTATTTCCCATTTTCCTTTTCTTTCCTTTCCTTTTATATATAAGAGTAAAATATGTTTTAATTCATATTATTATTTATTTGTATTTTATTTTAATATTGTTCATATATTTTTATAGAACCTGAATGTATGTGTACGACAGGTTTTACTTGTTTGTTGTCTAAACAAAAAAAGAACATGTAAAAAAAAAAAAAAGTTATTTGTACTGCAGGTTTCATATCTAACATGCTAAATAAAAACACCTAAAAAAAGAAAGACC